ACACCTACGCCAGCCGTTATGCAACTCCCAAGGTAGACAAAGCTTTCGACCACTTCCAGGGTGTCATTATCCAACGAGAGTGCTGGAATGGGTCCCTGCCAATCTTGCAACAACACTTTGCACTTTGAAGGTGCGAAGGACATACCAAAGAAAGTAACCTCAATTGTAAAACGGTTCAACGAATCTTGAGTCGTTTGCGCTTTGTCACCCCATAAGGCAATATTATCGGCATACTCTAAGTCTACGACTCTGTCCCCAGGAAGAAGCTCAATGTCAGCGTTCGTTACGTTATGTAACGCGTTATGTAGGACATTATATATATGGCAAAGTTGAAGAGAAACAGAGAGATAGGCCAATCCTGTCGCACCCCACTGGTGACAGGAAATGAGGATGAAAGTACTCCATAGGCCCTAACTTCCCCCGAGGTCTGGCGGTAGAGCGCTTTTACAGTATTCTCGGGTACTCCGAGTCGAAGGCAGCTCTGATGTCCGAAAATACGACAGTGGTTTGCCGTCCGTATGCTTGGCGGTGTTCTATAAGCTGACGGAGGGTGGAGATTTGATCTATGCAGCCACGGTGTGCCCGAAACCCGGCCTGCTCCTCGCGGGTTTGCTTCACACGGAATGGGCATAACCTGCGTAATAAAACGGACGTCAGCAGCTTCGGCACTATTGGAATCAGACTTTTGCCCCTGTGGTTGGAACAGGCGTTGCAACAGCCCTTCTTGTAGATGGGTGTGACAATCGATTCTTCCCATGTGTGGGGTACACTTTCAGTTTCCCAGATCTTCGAGAACAATCTCACAAATTCTCTTACGAGAGCTTCTCCACCATCTTTAAAGAGGGCTGGTGGCAGGCCGTCTGATCCAGCTACCTTGTGGCGTTTTAGGACTTGGAGTTCCTTTCGGATCTCCACTTCTGTGAGCAGGGAGAGGCGCTGTTCATTGTACTCGCGGTCTGCCGGGATCGCCCCACGCGCGTCGAGGAGTCTGCGAGAGTTGGAGGAGGACCAATGTTCTACAGCTCGACGGGTTAGGCCACAACTGTGTAAACTAGCCGAGTGCATTGCGTTTTGAATGATTGTCCAGTTTTAATCTGCGCTTCTTGGCGCGGTGGTAGTTAGCCTTGCGGCCAACTCAAGTCAAGTCAAGGAATCGCTTTATACACCTTGAAGGATGGATATTCAGCAACCACAACCACAGTGTCAACACTTTGAAAAATAATCGAAATTTAATACAACAATTAAAAGAAGTGAAACGCACAGCAACATCAATAAAAATCAATGGCATACCAGGATGTGTATGATAGGTTTAGTTTGGCATTTTGAGCAGATTTTCTGCAACGAGTTTATGGTTCGGGAGAAATTTGGTGAGATACGGCAAAATAAAGCGCCTGTTAGCTTTATAGGTTTATGACTGGGATGGGTGGATGAGTAAGAATAAAGAGAATGGTAAATATCTGATCTTATTGAAGAATGTTTTACAGGACTTGAGGTGGTGTGCCACCACATGTACCAGATGTTTCTGTGGTATGAGATTACATGCCGACAGACACTTGAGGTCCTTGTTCAAAAGACCGAGGAAGATAACAGGGGATCCACAAAGCCAGTGGGGCAAAACTCATGCGCAAACAAAACGCCTGATGAGATGATTCGGGATAGAAAGTGATTTGAGACGTAAAGCACAAAACATAATCCTCCTGACCTTCAGAAAAACGTCATTGAGGTGGTCAGACCAGGTGAGGTTGTTTGAAAATAACGCCAAGATCCATCTAATCACTGAAGAAAGATGAAGGCGGGCTGGCATTTGAAAATTCATCATACTTTGGGCCTTTCAAAAGGGGGAAATTACGTCATTACATTTTTCGGTGTTTATACGGAGGCTCCTTTGTTGAAACCACTCAGCTATTTCTGACGTGTCTTGCTGCATAGTTGTTTGAATTGACGGGTTGATGGTAGAGCAGTCCGAATATTATATAATCTGCATACTTAACAAGAAGAGAAGAATTGCTCACAGGCATGGAGGAAATGTAAGCGGAAAATGGAAAAAGGGATAAAATAGCGCCCTGCAGTACGCCTTGTGAGGAGGGCAGCAGTGAAGATGTATGATCACTGTAGCGTGTGAGCTGCTGACGGTTGGAGAAATGGTTGGCCAAGAGTTCAATCGTAGGAGGTTAAACACCGCCCGAAAATAGGGTATTTAGCAGTATTTTCTATCAGTGTAGTCTAGAAAACATGTGTCCAGTCTTGATATTCTTATCTAGGTTGGATAAAACGAAGTAGGAGAGATAAGCAGGAGCATCGAGGGTACCGCGGGAATGGGTGTATGCAAACTGGTTTGGGTCATCAACATTGAATTGTGTGGATGGGGTTTTGATCAGGAGCCTCACAATTACCTTCAAAACAACTAAGGTACAGGCAGTGGGATGAAATTTTGAAGAGTCTTTCTTCGATACTGGGGTGATTGGGGCTGTTCTCCAGCAGATGGGAATTCGTAGTTGCGAAATACAATTATTGAAAAGTCCACACAGTACAGGGAAAGGAAGGCAGCACATTCCTTTAGGACAACGGGTAAGGCTCCATCAGAGCCGCTAGACCTGCAAGGATTTAGTCGGGCCAACCCTTGATAAATTTCGTCAGGTTCAATGCTGGCGGTAGGATCGGTCATGTTTATTTCATATCCATTGGGTAGAGCAGTGAAAGTGATTCCATTGTTGATGAAGCTCTGATTCAGGCCCTCTATGTCCACAGCAGCAGGTGTGCTGTGTGAGGATTTGATGCCAGAAATTCACATGGAGGCTTGCCAGGTCTCACGACTAATTCGTTTTGGTAGTCGGCTAGTACGGCCGAGTCAGAAAGCTTGGCGACCCGAAGCTGTTTGCATCTCATCCTTTTGTGTCCACCAAGTCGCAGAGACAACTTGGCACAAACCAGTGTGTGGTCGGAGTTCAAGCAGGTAGACCAATACGAACGGCAGTCTTCCACACATCATCTCTATTTATAGCTAATAGCTATATGGTCATTCTGACTCCACGTCTGTGCCGAAGAGGGGTTACACCAGGTGGCGAGGTGAGGCTTTGGGTGTCTGAAGTTCGTGCTAACGAGGAACAGACCGTGTTCTGAGCATATACTAAGACGTCTATCCCCGTTATCTGAATAACAGCTATCAAGACCATGACGGCCACTAAGGTGGGTTTCATCGGGTGACAGACTACCAACGCGTGCATTTAGGTCTCCGGCCAGGATCACGATATCCGTTTTAGGTGCTTTGAGAAGAAGCTCATGTAGGTTGTAATAGAAGGCATCTTTGACTGTATCCGGGCTACAGTCTGTGGGAGCGTATGCAGAAACCACGAATAAGCATCGTTCATTTGGTTTCTACTTTTCGACCTTACTTGAGCCTCTGAGTCTCACTGCGCATAGTCGGCTATCTATCGGGATCCAATCCAATAGACCAGCCTCANCCAGCCTCAGCCCTGGCGCTCAAGGCAATACCAACGCCTGCTTGACCAGACGCTGAAGCGATAGGGTCTCCGGAGACGCGCAGTTGAAACGCTTCTTTAGGCTTGGCAGGAGACATGAATCGGATCACCGAGCTCGGATCCTGGATGCGTGTTTCCGAGAGGCAACTCACATCAACCCTTAGACTTTCGAGCGTACTAGCTAAACCTGCTTGTTTTCCTATACGCATTAGAGTTCTAACGTTGAACGAAGCCAGTTCGAACGCGAGTGATGTCGGAGGAATGGAACGGCTGGTTCCGAGGCAGATGTCAAGGAGAATAGTGGTGAGGAACAACATGAACCTACGTTAGTGGAGCCATTCGAGAATCCGTGGAAAATGGGGTGTGTTCGGGACGTGTGGAAGTATGACGTAGATTTTGTGAAGAAACGGTTTTATATGAGAGTTTCAGCTATGTGTATGCGCAAGTTATACCTCCATGCTTAAATTGCGGCATGATACTGACCGGTTGCCCAGGTCAAAGTAGAGCGTTTTCTTGTGGGGCTTACCGGGATCATTTGATTGAAGAACCTGACCCACAAGGCAGTGGGCTGGCGTAGGAAGTCCACGATCCTCTGGGAGCCCATGATTAGCTAACCAGTACAAACACCTTTCGGATGTCACCAACTATCCAGGTTACCTAGGTTGCCCTTCAGCCGTTCACTTGCCGTTGAGCGTCACGGTAGTCAAATCCAAAGTTTAACTTTGGAGACCTGTTCGGTTGCGCGGATGATTGGTGCCACTATGAGCTTCTTACGCCAGGTGTGTGTGGTTTGGAATCAGGGTCTAGCCGACTCCCCTAGACCGACTCCCAGTGGTCAGTCAACCCGGTGGAAAGTGCCGGGCATTCGCTTTTGCTCTCCCAGTTTAGTGGTTACGCGTACGCACCGAGAAGACAGTGAGTAG